CAATTTTTAGATGGTCAATAAATATAAGAGAAAAACTGAACAGGCATCCTGGAGTGAGGCAACAATGCAAATTGCAATGGAAGAATCCAAAACTACTTCGGTTTCCGCGGCTGCAACGAAGTATGGTTTCACGCTCTCTACCTTGCAAAGACATTTAAAAAGGGAAGTTGTGAAAAAAAGCTAGGAAGATATCAGAAAGTGTTTAATGATGCACAAGAAGTCGAATTATTAGAGTATGTATTCCATGTCGATGATCTTTTCTATGGCCTGACTAAAACTGAGTTTTTAAAACTTGTGTATCAATATGCAGAAAAAAACAATATTGTTCATCCTTTTAAAGACGGCTGTGCTGGAAATGACTGGTATATAGGTTTTAAAAAACGTCATCCTAATTTGACTATCAGACAGCCAGAACCAACGTCGATTGCAAGAGCACGAGGTTTTAACAGAGCTCAAGTATACAGATTTTTTGATTTATTAGAAACAGAAATAGATAAACATGCCATTAACGCTACCCGGATATACAACATGGATGAAACCGGCATTCAGACAACAAGTAATGAGCCTCCAAAGATATTGACAAGAACCGGAAAGAAACAAGTGGGTGTAATTTCAAGTACGGAAAGGGGAAAGTTAACGACTATTGTCTGCTGCTGCAACGCGGCTGGATCATTCATACCCCCATTCCTCATTTACGGTAGAAAAAGAATGGTTAGTAGGTTATTAGATGGAGCACCACCTGGCACCAATGCTACTTGCACAGACAACGGCTGGATCAATGGACCTAAATTCTTAGAATGGCTTCGTCATTTCGTCGACATTACCCGCCCAAATCCAGAGAAAAAAGTAATATTGGTAATGGATAACCATGAATATCATATATTTCTTGAGGCTTTAGAATATGCGACACAGCATAATGTAATTTTCGTCTCGCTGCCTCCTCACACAACACACCGCATGCAGCCCCTGGACCGCTGCGTTTATGGACCGTTCAAAACCTATTTTGAACAGGCAGTTTCCGTTTTTCAAAGGAGCCATGTTGGTAGAATAATTTCTCAATATGAAGTGGCTAGACTCTTTGGCGAAGCGTATTTAAAAACAGCCAGTGCACATAATGCCATCAAAGAATTCGAGTCTACTGGAATATGGCCCACAAATCGGCATGTATTTAACGATTCAGACTTTTTGCCATCCAGTCTGACAGACAGGGCTCTAGTCGTTAAAAATACACACGATGATGCATCCCAGTTCCAATCTGCTAATATTGGTCGTCTTTCTAATGAGTCTGACCGCATTGTTTCTCCACCGGTTTTGGAAAACGTAGACCACAATCCCATTCAAGTCCCTGCAATTGCCACACAATGCACCACCAGGAAAACAATCATTGCCATGCCCATGGAAACTCCAACTTTGAATCTTGATGAGGAAAAGGAGAACAATTTTATACCTACACAAGTTTCGTCTTCCGATATAAGTGTTGAAAAGAATATCGATCCAAAACCTATTGAGATGTCATTGGCGACTAATTCTCTTGCAGTTTCGTGCAGCACTAAAAATTGCAACGACCTTGCCCTTACAGAAGTAGCACCAAATTTTAAAAAAGAAATTCCGACTGATAAAGTTAGAGCCTCGTGTTCTACACCAGTTAGTGCCAATTCACTCCGATCAGTAGCAGATCCATTGACACCTACACCTATAACTCATGTAAAGCCTATAGATATCAGACCGACACCTAAATTGAGCCCAAACAATATAAACCGCAAGCGAAAAATTCAAAGAGCTGAAGTATTAACTAGTTCACCGATAAAAGAACAACAAAAAGAGAAGGAAGAAAAAAAGAAACGTGGTACCAAAGCTGCTGTTACGAAAAATTTGAAAGATCTTCCTTCTACAAGTAAAATAGGCAAATCTAAAAAGAAAATAACATCAAAGAAAAACCTGCAAAACAGTATTTTTGTCTTGTTTGTACTCGTTACTCGGTACTCGTTATGGGGACCCATCTGAGGAAGATTGGATCAATGTGGAGACTGCGAAGAGTGGGCTCATGAGGCTTGTACTAGTTATTCAGGAATCGGTTCCTATTTTTGCGATTTATGTCAAGAATGAGGCGATTGTTTTATTTTTTAAATATTTTTATTTCTTATTTTATTAACAAAAGTACCTAATTAAAGTTTGTCAATTTAATAGTCATGTAAGTCTAATGTAAGTGTTGCTACATTTATATGATTGAGACTTTTATATTGCTAAAGACTGATTAAATGAGTCTGAGATTATTACTTGAATAAGTATAAGTTAAAAGAGAAAGTTATTTTTTATGACTTTTTATGATTTTTATTTTTTATGACAGTTAGATACATAACTGAAATTTCAATATTAGTTCTTAAAAAAAGAGTGATATGTGTACTGTGAGTGATATGTGGGCAATAAACAGTCTAAAGTTATTCTTTAATTCTTTTATGAGTGTAATTTTTTCTTTTGTTTGTTACCCGCTTTGCCCAAACGGCTTACATGCTTTAGGCCCCCTATTAGGGCAAAGCGGGTTTTTGAAGAGTATTTAATTTTTGATAATAAATAATTATTTGATACAAAATGACACCATCATGTTGTTTTATTTTTAAGTTCTATAACTCTCCTATCGAATAAAATAAAAACTGTTATAATCAAACAAAAATTTAAATTTTTGGTTCTTTAACGTTAGCTTACCCGCTTTAGGCCCACCTTCCCCTACATACTGCGAGTCATTATCAAATCTGGTTTTAAGGCCCACCATGGTGTTTGGTGTTAATGATAATATTTTTTCTTCGCAAGGAGTCAAAGTCACGGCACACTGACCACCACCGGTTTTCGTTTGCTCACTTTTGAGCAACGAACATTTTGTGCGAATATTTTTTTTATTGTATCATATTTAGAACGAATCGTTTTCGTCGTGCGAGGAAAATTTCCCGAAGCAGCATTAAATTCATTGCAAATTTTTTCCCAAGCTTCGTTTTTATCTTTCCACGTTGTTGCGTCAGTTTTTTTATTTTCGACAATATGTTTATATTGTAATGTAATGTCTATTAATAAATCGATCTCAGTTTTTGTGAAATTTACTCCTCTTTTTTCCTTCTCCATTATATTGTTACGCTCGCAAGGAATCCTGCTCACTAACGGAAAGCGGCGCCCGGTATCGTGGCGGGTTGCCACGATACCGATCGGCAACTATTGTTTATGTAATCAATCGATACATTCGAAGCTTGGCTCTCGAGCTGTGCTGACGTGTTTGAATTCTAATAAAGTTCCTCTGTTCTTGTTCTTCCTAACTGGTTTGTCTCATTGACGCGTACGTGCGCGGAAGAGTGCCCGGCACTCTTCCGCGCACGTACGCGTCA